GTATTTCGTCTGTTTGAATCTTTTTTAGAGTAACGCCAGCGTGTGCACTCACATTCGTGGTGTACGAAAACGTTATTCACTCCCTTCTTCCAAACAGATGACATCGACAGGATAAATATTGCAATCCAGCAAAGGAAGACGGTGGGCAAAATTTCCGCTCGTGGTTTTATTTATAGGCTTTATTCAGCAACAGTTTTGACTGTTTCCAGGTATGGAAAAAAAATATGTTAACCGTGCGAAGTTAAACATAACCGTTGACCGTACGTTTACACTTTTTATAAGTAACCTCTTTCACTAGCGGAATATGAATATGAATTTTTCTTAGAGCATTTTATACACAACAATGCAAGAGGTATCCATTACTATTCTTAGCTCCTAAAGATGACAATAATTTCTCCTATGGTTCTTTTATTAAAAAAACTTTTGCCCCAACCCCCTCTATGGATAGCAAATTAATGAACGTCCCTTGGCACAAAAAAAAAAAAAGGCAGAAACTACAAGAGATACCTTTTAAACGGCTGTGAATATTTGAAAGTCATATATTTGAACTGCGGATAAAGACGTGAACATGAAAGCGATCTTCGCGTAGTAGTGAACACTACTTAGGCAGTAGTGAAAAGAAGGCCTGAAAAAAAATTCAGGCCTGTACAAGATTTAAACCCATGACCTCTGCGATACCGGTGCAGTGCTCTACCATACCTTTTTCCAAGTTTTTTTTTTTATTTCTGTTTACTTGATAATAATTGACAATTTAATTCTAAAATTATAAGAAAAGGGTCTCAACATTACTAACATTATCGTTATTCTAACATTACTTTTATTCAAGAAAAAATGTTCAATATTAAATGAATTGTGACAGTTGTAAAAAAAAAATTCCTTTCTTTCTTCCCTACGTTACGGTCTTTTTAAATAACTTTCTCCATTTGTTATTGAATCGTTGTGATGTAAAGTTAAAGCCATTTTTGATTGATTGCTCTGCGTTTTACTTCACTGGGTTCTGGTTTCATATATTTTCCCGAACATTTTTATTTTGTTGTTATTTTTCCCTGGTTATCTATATTAAGTCCACTAAAAAAATTGTAAGAGCTACTCTTTCGCGATTGCTATCAAGTGAATTTGAAGAGTTTTTCACAAAACCTTTCATCAGATGAAGGTACCGAGAACCTACTCTGGCCCATGGACTACACTGCCCGTAACATTTACTCTCGTGTTCATGTTATGAAACAGCTGAAAATAGTCCATGCAAGTCAAATGTGCTTACGAAGAGATACACAGTTTTTGTTGAATTAACGATTGTCATTAACGATGCCCTTCTATTTACACCACTCAAGGAGCTGTGCCACAAAGTGACCCAGCTCATATCACTTCCTTTGAAAAGACCACCAACGATTTTTCTATATTTTAAAACATTGTTAATGAATTCGCCCTGCTTTGCACCATTTGCATTGTGTTCAGGTTTCTTCTTTTTAAATTAGAGACAAATGAATATCAAATGATTGGAAGATTAGTCTTAGAATATTGAAATATAAGGCAGTGGCTTTCTGGGGTGGGGTGGGCATTCTTTCCTGTGCTCATTATTTTTCATAGGATTCCTTGCATGTTTTTGCAGGATAAAAAAAGAAAAGGAAAATTTCATAGTGAGGAAGTGTGATTTTGATTTCAAAACTAACATTTCTATGAAAAATTGTTGGTGATGTACTTGAACGGTGTAGAAAGTTGTTTACAACACCTAACAACTTACCCATACTACTCTAAGTCTTATTTTCAGTACATCGCAGCTTCGAATATTTTTCTTTTTGCGTGTTTCTGTTGTAGGCAAACATTAAACTTAGAAAAACAGGTCAACTTTTAAAAGCTACATGCAGTTTTTAAACGTAATTATACACATGCAAGTTGTACTCGCCCTACATGTTCATACAGTTTGGTTAGCCTCTGAAAATTTACTCTTGTTGATTTCTCCCAAATTGCACTCGAAACGCGTGATTACCTGTGCAATTTTTTGCAAAAACTTATTTTAACGAATTTAATTTTGAATGAATGAAGTGCCTGCGCGCTTAATTGAATAAGCTGTATAGGGAAATTTGAAGCCATTGCGTAAAGAGCTTTAACTTAGCTTCAAAATCAGTCTGTAAGAGATCCACTACGAATGAATTCTGGTCGATTCGGACACATTTGACACACGATTACGACAGAGTGAACCGTTGAATTTGCTTACTGTGTGTCTGGAAATCAGTTCAACGTTTCAAAATACTGAGTCACAATTATTACGTTAACTTTGTGTATTTTCATAGCACATCAGATTTTGACTGTCTCTATTTTTTCTACCCCTATATCATATACCCATGGTTAAGAATTACGGCTAAAGAAGGATTAAAAAAATATAAAAAAGATACACAATTAAAATGCTCGAAAACCATAAGCTTGAGATTTTGTCTTGCAGATTTTACTTGAAGATTACTTTGAAGATCTTTCAACTGTCTTCGATGACAGAGGCTATCAGATGAGAATTATCATTCTAATGAAATAAATACGTCTTTGCCACCAAAGTTAAAATCTGCTGATAATGTTCACGATAGATAAGAAAGGTTAACTAAGTCACACAAAAACCTTATACACTTGTAGCTACGGAGCGATTTATGAGTCTTCTTACTACGCAAAGTATATTTGCTTTTACATTCAGTCTGTACCACAGTAGCGTGAGAGACATCTAGGTGGGGGGGAGAAGTTCGTAGATGAAGTAGGATCCACAGTTTTTACATTGACACATATTGAGTTTTTGCAACCAGTAGGGCGATCACTAAAGCAGACCCTCCGAGAAACTTCACCATCTTCTAGTGTTGGATGAGCACCATTTAACCAGCCTGACCAGACTGCACCACATCTGTATGCTGGCACACGTGTTGTTGGCATTTTTCTTCCTGCAGCTCCCACAAAACGGTACCATCCCTTAAGGAGTTGGTCTTCACACATCTCTTGGTTCCAGGGTGTTTCGTAACTGCTCTTTCTACTGGCATCACTCAGGCTTTGATAATGATAACATGGGTCGGCTGAAAAGTCAAGTTAATTTTTTTTTTTATAACGATAGCAAGGATCGGCTCAATGACAGTTGCAAAAGGACTGAGTGACTGAGTTTATTAAAATCAATGGTTCAAGAATTTCTCAATAATTCTGGCAGCTTGTCAAAAAAGTGGTGAAACTTAACAAGAAAAAAAAATGACCATGCATTAATTAAGGGGTCAAGTAGTACATGTGTAGGATATCATCACTGAAGAGGCTAAATTGGAGATCCAAATGAATTCATCTGAATCTGAGCTCCTTCTCTCTCGGAGAGCGCATTAAAGGACAGCTCTAGGTACACTTATGGCACAACCAGTATCGTTTACATGTGACAAACAAATAATGTGGCCGACAGTGGCCACCTCAACAGCTTCAGGTAAGATTCGAGCGGGAATATTCTAAATATTGTAGCAAAGAGATTAAATTTACCTGTGCAGCTTTGACCATTTCCATTAAATCCAGGGTGGCATTCACAAAGATAGGATCCGTTGGTGTTCGTGCAGGTAGCATTCACGTGACAAGAGTGATTTCCTTTACATTCGTCAATATCTGAGAAACCACATATATATTTGCACTTCATCATGTTTGTCACTTTAAAATGAGCGGACTCTCAGTCGAGTGATTACTTTGATAATCATACATGATAAGACAGTTTTTTCTTTTTTGTGTTCCACGAATTAGATATTTGAAACGTATATTTTATCACGAATATTTCAGTTTATCAAGCTATCGGCTCTGAAACAACTGGCTTGTTCCTGCTGCTCCCACAAAACGTACCATTCCTTGGGGTAGGTCGTCACAAAACACTGGACCAAACTGCGGTGTAGCGTAACTACTCTTAATATTGGCATCACCCAGGTTTTGATAATTATAGCAGATAATTTAGTAACAACTGAGTTGAAAACGTAAATTAGCCACCGTAAAGGGTAAAAAGCTGAAGTTTCGAGTGTTAGCTCTTCCTCAATCACTGATAGCATTACAAAGTGTCATGTTTTTTTTGCTTTGATCTCCCATTTTAGTCTGAGTTGTATGTACTTCTACTGTATGCTACCAAATGCGTTAAAACATTTTTGATTCTCAGCTCCCGCGCAACGATGCCAGCCCTGAGGTATTCGGTAGTAACACAATTATTTCCCAGGAGTGTGTAATTTCTCTTCGCCTCCTAAAGGTTTCCTTTCGTTCTATGAAAAGGGTCAGATAAGGTCAGAGAAAAATATACAATCCCTTCAGGACTCAGGATTCTTACCTTATCAACTGAGTTGAGAATGCAAATTGGCCTCTGTAAAGAGTTTCAAAGCTGACGTTTCGAGCATTCGCTGTAACACTCTTTATGGTGGCCAATTTACCTCATCAACTCAGTTGATAATACTATATTACCCTGTTGCACTCTCCCAACGACGCAGCACCGCAGTTATTGTAGAACCTTTATTTATCGCTCTTTCTCTCAGTTTACTGGCGATATAATCCACGCTGGATTTTGTGAGAACGAGCTGGAGGCGACTGATCTACTTTTTTTTTCGAATGGTTTCCCAACACCTGAAGACGTTTACTACGCTGGTAAACCGATAGAAAGTGCGGTCCGTTACTTTAATAACATATATAAACTTCAATTTTCCACAGGTTTACCGGTGCAATCAACGATTGTTTTTTGACCAATCAGGGTGCTCGTAGTATCTTGACTATTTTATAAAACTTGATGATAATAATTTTCAACTTTTTCACTCAAATATATCTTAAGTGTCAACGAAAACGTAGCGCCTTGGAAAATCATTTACATATCCATCCTGTGCACAGGGTTCAGAGCCAGACGAGCGATTTTATTTTCATGCTCCTGTCAGTCATTGTGATAAGGTTAATTTTAAAGCAGAACAACGCATCAGTCACCAAAAAAAATGTTCAAATAATTAAATATTGTACCTCGGCGTGTCCGTAACTAGTTTACCTGAGCACGAGCGTCCATCCCCAGTAAATCCTTCTTTGCAGGTGCAATTATAAAACCCAACAGTATTGGAGCAGTTTGCATTTTTGTCACAAACTTTATTGCTGCCTTTACATTCATCGATGTCTATTTGAAAATTAATCGAAGAAATCACTGAGACAAGGTGAAAACATTTCACAAAAGGCCAGGGCAAAGGTAGACCAAACGTTGTGTAAATTCTGTTCTTGGTATATTGACTTACCTTCCAAAATCATGTCGCAGTAAACCAACTTTGAGCTCCCTGACATTAATTGGATCCAACCAGTAATTTTACTGATGCTGTCTTTACCTTCACTTAATTTTATCTCTTGGCACGACAGCGCTGGTAATTCAGGAATAGATCCTAAGGGGGCTAAAATATAGACATGACTTCATTAATGGTTTAAGGGTAATAGAAGTTGCAAAACAGATTAGATCTGAAAATATATTTCTCTGGGCTAAACATGGAATAACAATGATTAAGAGCTGAGAAGTTTAGCTGATATCAATGTACTATGGAAGGCGAATTTTGCTTTAAGACACTGACCCTATTTAATAACAAAGCAATCGGACACTAGCTCTCGGAAAGTAGCGAGGTCTTACTAGGAACTCACTGAGAAAGATTTGTATGTAAAATAAACTAAACCGGATACATACTTCTACCACTAATGCGTCCCATGTAAAAGCGTAAATCGTCTGGCTGGAAATTCTCGGGCCTTGCTTCCTTGGTCCGGGTGTTAAGTTCACAGGACTTTTCCCCAATTACATAATTGTAGCTTTGACATATCGTTTCCCTCTCGCAGGTGATATCGCACACATGAGGAGCTGTTACTGGGACCTTTTTAAAGACGAATCCTCTGAGAGCCATACCAGGTACGCTAACTTCGGTCTTGCACGGATTTTTTAGCATTAGCGAAGTCCATGAGATACAAAGAGGCCAGTAGGACTGAGAAACTCGAATTCCACGGCATTATCACTGATGCTGAAATCGGAAGGTACATATTATTTAGGAATATGCATTGAGCGTTTTTTCTAGATTTAAAGCAAACCGAGCGAAACAAACGGAAGGCAAATGAAGAAATCCATTCTGAATCGGTTGCAAGTCAACTGCATGTCTGAGTCGCTACACCTTTGTTCATCCGCCTCTTTGATATTCTTAACTTTTACATCTCTTGCACTTATTTGGGAATTATAAAGGTTGCTTCCTAGAAAGAATTGCAGCTGAAATGTTGATCGTTCTCAAGATTAAAAGGTGACAATGAAACGAGTGAGGTAAGCATTCATATATTTTTTGATAGACTTGATCCATTGTTATTTTGAGTTACGGCATTTTGGTGATGCAAAACATATCGTGACCGTTTGATTTATAGGAGAGAATATTAATTCATGTCATGGCAAGTTGATAAGAAAAAAAAAAAAGTTCAAACAAGACGTGCTTTCCTTACGATAATATTACTGTGCTTGCAATTTTTCGACACCTATTATTAAACAATGTCGCACAACTTTTGCGCCAAAGATTCGGTTTGAACAAAATGATTCGATTCCTCCTCTAAATCAAATTTAAGAGAGGAGATGTGAGGTTGAATTTGCATTATGAATCCATAGATTGAAATGAGGCTTTTTAATTGAAAAAGGCTTTTTGAATTGCAGCAAAACTTTGGTGTCGATTTCTCTATTGTTCTTTAGAGATGAAAATTTTTTTTTGTCGTAGGTTGTGTTGGTAAAAGATGAGTACTCGCTCCTTTGAAGTCCTACATAAAATATTTTGCACCATATGTTGGAGCTCAAACGCTTGCAATTTTTTTCTTTAATGTATCGACACACGGATGAAGCACGTTCGATTTTACCGTTTTATTAGCACAGAGAACAACATTATTTCTCATCTTAATGATGACAGAGAATTTGACTTACCCCGAAAAGGAATAACGAATGATAAACACGCAATTATTCCTTAGAGCCCCCACACTCACCAACGTCAGGGAGACTTGATTATCACTTTTCAGAAACTTTGAAGCCTAAAAGATATATAATTCACCTCTGCTCAAAAACGAATGCCCTCAAACATTTCAGAATGATGTGTTAACATACTTAAAAAAAGCTCTCCAGAAATTAGATCAGCACTTTGCGTCAAATCGTTACCAAGTAGCTTCGATTCTTAATGCACAGCCTTTGTGCATTGAAATTTAAGTTGGAGATAAGTCCTTAAAAAAAAAAAAAAAAAATCATTGTTTTAAGTATAGTTCCGTGACCGAAAATTACGAATCTGATGCATCAAGGACATTTATTTTTTATCAGTTTATAGAATGGAAATTAGCCGAACCTCCTTATGAGGTTTCTATTGTAGGAAAGACGCCCCGTGGACGCAAATTAAAACCGACTGAGAACACCTGTGGGGCTTGAAGATAATTAAGTCCTGAAGATTACACTTCTCGAAGCAGAAAATAAGTACGATTGGTCAAGCAATTTGAACTTCATTCTCTTACTATTTATTCCGAAAAAATATTTTGTGACTGAACCCCAAAAAAAATACTGAGAGAAAAGTTGTCTCGAATCATTTATCCAAGGTGAAGATAATGATTCCTTTGTTGCCAAAACTTACGTGAACGCTATCAATTTATTCTCTTTTTGATGTTGAAGTTAGTCTTAATGACTACTCCAGCCCTCTGCACATGCAGAATAAAACAAGTTCCCGCACGACTTTGGTACAATTTTTTTCATTTGACCTCTTTGGAGGCACCGCAAAACCTCAAAACCGTTGAGGAAAGTAGAACCAAAGTAGAATTCGACCATCGTCGTGTTAAAAACAAATACACAGGCCTTTTATAGATAACAATCAAAGGCGATATTCGGAGCATCCTCGCAGCTACTGTACTGAAGAAAAAAATGTCCCTATGGAAATATTGTTGGTGGGTTAATGTTCTATGTGATAAATTTTGGTCATGTTTTGAAACTGAGAGATTTTGGAAAGCATTATTACGCCGCCACAAATTGCTGTGAAATAGCACCTCTAATCAGCGAGAAAATAAAACGGTGTACCAAATAGGCCTTCCGCAGTGACTCTAAGCCAGATTATAAACTGGCGTATTGTTGAATTCTCTCTCGCGTAAAATTAACGAAAGAAAAGTGTTCCAAAACTTTGCGCCGCAAAAGAAGTCGTGGAAAGTCGATAAAAAGAAATTTCATTTTGAACTTTCACTTGCGAAGAACATTATTGCTTTATTCACATCGATTATGCTGCATTACAAACGTGAAATTCGAGATGTGATACAGAGTATTTCCAATATGAATGAACATGTCCTTTTTGGACAAATTGTTTGAAAAATTGATGTAAAGCTCATCTTAAAGCTTAAATCGGTTGCTTTCAAGAAAAAAAACCCTTACTTTGTTAGTTGGAGAATTAGAAATATCAGGTCAAAGTTAACATCTTACCCGTCAGCAGAAAAAGGAAAAGCAAATCCTTTAAAAGGACTGCAAAACTCAAAACTAATCGCTTTCAGTTAAATTTTTATCCAGATTCGAGGGATTATCGCATCGAATTCGTTCGAACAATTTATTTTCCTTTTGGTTTTCTCAAAATGTAGAAGTTGTATGTTCCGAATAGTTTAATATAGTTTTTCACTCTTGGAGTGTTCACTAGAGTTAAAGAAAACTGGCTCACCTTTTAAGATGCAGCACCTCTCCGGTAAGAAATTCAAAACGCATTACAAAGAATGCTGTCATTAGCATTTGTTGCCTCATAATTGCAGCTGAAGTTATAGTAGTCAATAGAATACTCTTAATTGATAACTAATTTCTCGTTCCTGTCTGGTCCTTGAGAATATATCACAGTGCTATTTTTTAAGTCTGGAAACGGTTTAGAATTTATTTATAAATATCGCAACTTTTCATAGCAGTCTGAGCGTCTCGAGTGTTACTTTGGGTAAATAGAAACATATTCTACTCTAATGATGATTGTAGATATATGAAATTCATATATTTGTACTGCGGCGAAGAGACGAAATTAAGAGATCCTCGGAGCTAAGAACACTACTGAAATGAGTAGTTGAAAATAGGACCTGAAAAAAATTCAGACCCATACGGGATTTGAATCCATGACCTCTGCGATACCGGTGCAGCGCCGGTACTCTCTTAAACTTGCCACTTGCCGTAAATATAAAGAAGACTCTGTAACGATGAAAAAGAATCGCACGCACCCTAAGAGGTTAATTAAGAATAAGGAATAACAGGCTTTTGTTCCTTACAGGTACGCAGTTATTACGCAATAAAAAAAAGTAATTACCAGCTTAAATGAACTATTTATTTTACACACATCGAACCTCTACACAGGCCTTTTTTGATTTAGTTATACTTCATTTTCGTATCATCATTCTGTTGTAAATTATTTCGTGGACACGAGTCGTCAAGAGTAATTAATTTCATGAACTTAAAAAAAAGAGGAACGTACGATCCATTGAATGAAAACATTAAAATTTCATGGGAGAAAAGGCGTCCTACATTCTTAAAATATGAATGAAGAGAAGCCCTGCACGTCTTTAAATGAATTCCGTGTTGTATAAGTTTGAAAAAAAAAATAAATGCTTGTTTTTTTTTCGATATAATTCAAAACCAGAGATGGAGTTTAAAGCTACTTCATTTAAAAACCATGGTGTTATCAACATTTTATATTTCAACCGTTTGTGGCCACAGTAGACAGTTTCAGTCGTGTTATTACAAAACATCTCCTCATTTCTACGTAGTTCTTAAGATTAATTTTACTTGATTTCATATCGTGGTGGCTTGGAAAACATTTTTAAAAGTCATAACACACAGCAAGAATTTTGTGGTTATAACTGGCAATAATTCTTAAAAAAAAAAAACCCTTCATTTTTTCATAACAATGATAGCTGATATCGATCTCACCCTGAAGGAATAATGAAAAAACTACCACGAAGCAAGAAAGGATATTATCTCTTGCACGCAATGTTCTTTATACCTCCTCGTCCTCAGCAGCGTAAGAAGACTCGATTATCATTTCTTATGGGCTGTTAAGCTAAGACATGTCGAACTTCTAGAGTTTTACTCAGGTTTTTCTAATGATAGGAAGGATCGGCTACAAAGTGAAATGACAATTGCAAAAGGACTAAGATGATTAAAATCAATGTTTGAAGGTTTTCCCTGACATCCTATAATTCTAGAAGCTTGCCAAAAAGCCGTAAAACTTGTACTTAGCAAGGAACATGACTATGCATTGATGCAGATGCTCGTAAAAAGTTCAGCATAATATGCTAATATATTAGAGTATAGGATTTTAATTTGCGTCAAACCCCACATACAACACCCCATAATCGGTTACTATCCAGTACTTTGCAGCTTGTTCATGAAATGCAGAGGCCGAGGCCGAGACTTACATAACTAATAAAGATTTTGGTCTATTTACAAAGCATTTCACAGGTTAGAATATTGATGCAGTGAGTTAATTATTAATATCATCATTTTTTGTTTGGGTGATAATAGCACACGATTACCACAGACTAGTTATAGAGAGAAATTTAAACTACTTTTTAAAGACTCCTCAGTCAATATTTGTCGGTTTGCAACTATGGGTGCTGTCACAACAGTCATTCAAAAAAATGTTACTAACAAATAAATTATTGTTCCTGTCTAGTGCTCGAGATTTAAAATACACCGTTTATTTCAGTCTCAAAAGCGTAGAGTTTTTACCGTAACTGTTGTAGCTCTAGCGGGACGAGTCAGGCTTGTAATTTTGGCTTAATAAGTATTTTGGCTCTTTAAAATTGTCAGCAGCTGTAATTATTAAAAAATTAAACGAAAAAGTATAGGGGACCATGTAGAGGAGTACAAAGAGAAAAGAATCACGCCCCAGGCAACCATTAGAGAGATAAAGGAGTGATACTCACTTTCAGTAGGTTG